TGTGCGATGCCCGGCGCGCACGTCCCTTAATGACTCTGCCGGTCATGTGATGCCCGCTTGTTATCGGCGTCACAGGCAGAGATCTCCTCATACTTCTGCATGCTAGACCTCAAGTGCGACTTGTCCATACTAGCACGACTCAGAAAAACGCACAAACAGTGACGAACACTAATGCACCAGCTCGGCAACCTGGGCTGTGTACACAACTCAGAAAAAATCTGGCAGCTAGAAGACAAGGCTGTTGTTAGCTATATGTTCTTTGGTGAATCAATGCACTGTTAGTGCACATAGTTTTATTGCAGTCTTTACAGTCATATTTATAATCAAATATAAAGCAAAGAAGTGAGATAGCTAACAACTATTTGGATGACAGGTATGCGCTTACTTATATAGCGCTTACAGCGCTATACCAAACAGCACACAATAATAATGTGATATACTGATCAAAGAAAAGGTAGTAAAATACTACAGCCTCTAATGGCAAGTCGACAGTAATGCCAATTTGTTATAGAGGTGCAGAGCTATGCTGTTGACAGATGGCTTGCCAACAGTGGCTATAGATGTGTGTGGCACAGCTCTGCATCCTGCAGCAAATATCATTGCTGCCAACTAAGTTGCTATTAGAGAGCAATACGTTTTTATTCACTCCAACTAAAAGTATAATAAAACAGAACTACCACAAGCAAGGCAATCAATCTCGTATTAAAAAAAGTACAAAAAGCGACAACTGCAGGATTCGAACCTGCGCGTCCAAAGGACAACGCCTATCTTCTGAAGATCGAGCAACCTTCGCAAATTAGCAGGGCGTCGCCTTAACCACTCGGCCAAGTTGTCAGCTGTTTTTTGGAGCTAGTTCAGCTACTTTTCTCATTGGGCATATTGGATTATCTGCATACTGACGGCAGCCTTTGCCATATCACGTGTATTTTTTAGATATTTATTATTTCTTGCCGGACGCTGACACCTCTAGCGCCCAACTCAGACCATGAAGAATGATATTTAGTCTTT